TTTTTATTCTACTTCCATTTTATGCAATTTACTTTTCTATTAAACATTCTTTTTTATTTAATTTCCAAATAGATCGTTAAGGTATAGTGGTTTCGGGATTGAACTTCCATATTTAATTTTCCGCAACTTCCATTTTTATTCAACTTCCTTTTTTTTACAATTTACTTTTTAGGTGTATTTATGTTAGGTGTGTTTAAAAAGTAAAAAAGTTGTTTAAAATATTAAAAAAATTTAGGAAAAACAAAAAAAACGGAAAATAAGAATGTAGAATTTTTTGAAAAGTGTTCTAAAAAATGAAAACAAGCAAGCTAATTGCAATTATCAGTACAAGAGTTAGTAAATTGTGTGAAACCAGAGGAGGAAAGTCGCTATACTTGTTCCATAAACAAGGGTTACAAGTACGCCATGCAATTTGAAATAGGAATGGAGGCAGATTGTCCTTATATAGTGAAAAAAAAAACCTTTTGCGAGAAGCCCAGCCATATAATAATTTCTACGTAGTTGCTATATAATTTTTTTTAATGAAAAACATTAATTTTCATTCTAAATAATATTATTGAATTTTTAATTTTTTGTATGTGTGTAATATGTAATGGGCTTTGAAGATTGAAAATTTCAAAGAAATGGCTAACGGAGATGAGATTGGACTTATGGAGGCTGTTAAGAATCAACATGTGGATGCAACACTTTATATCACCCACAAATTATTAGAATACAAAGAGGTTTGAAAACAAATTTAATGATGTATTGTTTTATTAGTTTAATTGTTGTCTCTCTATATAATGTTCTTATGTTATATTGTTTTTTTAATTATTTTATTTTATGATTATGATTAGGGCATATGAAGGACCACTATGTGATTCAAAGGTAAAAGTTATTCAGTTGGGGAAGTGATGAAGTTGGGGAAGTGATGATGAGACTAAGAAAATTTTCTGGTGGATCAAGAACTCATGGGTCGTCAGTTGGGGAATCAATGGATTTGCAAAAGTTGTTCGGAACTCTAGCCTTCCAAAAGGCAGTACACCTGTTCTGTTTAGAGCATCATACCCTATTCTATTTTGAACTGAAAAGCCAAGTAACCAAACAAGAGAAGATTATGCCATTTACTTGGTTACTTGGCTTTTCAGCTCAAAACAGAATAGGGTATGATGCACTAAACAAAACAGGTGCACTGCCTTTTGAAAGGTTAGAGTTCCGAACAACTTTTGCAAATCCATTGATTCAGCAACTGACGACCCATGAGTTCTTGATCCACCAGAAAATTTTCTTAGTCTCATCATCACTTCCCCAACTTCATCACTTCCCCAACTGAACAACTTTTACCTTTGAATCACATAGTGGTCCTTCATATGCCCTAATCATAATCATAAAATAAAATAATTAAAAAAGCAATATAACATAAGAACATTATATAGAGAGACAACAATTAAACTAATAAAACAATACATCATTAAATTTGTTTTCAAACCTCTTTGTATTCTAATAATTTGTGGGTGATATAAAGTGTTGCATCCACATGTTGATTCTTAACAGCCTCCATAAGTCCAATCTCATCTCCGTTAGCCATAAGCAATAATGCCTTCATCCTTAATTGTTCGGGCAAAGCAGTCAGAAATTCCTTTGTATGGTTCAGACAGCCGACCAGCTTTGATCATCTCATCCTGGTTCTGAATCAATAGCTTAACTCGCTCTATCGGAGCAGCAGCAGTCTTGGATACAGCAGCAGAAACTCCTCCCATGAGGAAGTCTATCATAAAACTACGAAAACCTTTTTCTGCGGGAGCTTGTACAAAAACAGAGGATAGTGGTGATGCAAATTCCAGGCCAGTGCCTTGGAATGTTGGTGGCAGAGGACTCTGCAGACCTCCATTTACATATGCACCAGTCATATTGTGTAAACCAGTATTCCTGGAGCGCAAGTTAGGAGAAATTCGAGATAAGAAATAAGATTGCCAATGTACCTTCTGGGAAATTGATGGATGCTGTGATCCATCCGCCATATTTGCAACTCAAGGTGGTGACCTGCATCAGAAACCAACATTAATTACATGCAAGAATAAAACAAAAACAAGCATATCAAACAAAGAACACAATAAAGGTTTAAATACAAGGAACAATAGAGAGAAGGGTTTTTCCCAACCCAATCTTTTCGCTACTATAAACACCGGTGCCAAAATATTTGTATCACTTTAAAAAAATTAAAATAAAAACATATTGTTTGAGTCAAATGACTTTGGAGGGAACAAATAGTTACCGAGTATTATGTATACCATCCTTGAGGTTTACCCATCTTAATTTTCAAATCTAAGCAATATATGCATGCATGCTAAACAATTTTCAAACACAAATATAATTAAGGGGAAAATAGATCAATTCATTTAGGCTGCAAAAGCATGCTAAATAAAAGCGACAAACGCGTTGTACCTTAAAATGCACAATAATATGTCCATAATGCAATCCCACAACACACGTAATGGCAGCCATCAACGAGCTAGAACATTTTAGAGCAAAAGAGGTTTAATCAAAGAGCCTTCATATAAAAATAATATTATCAAGACTAAAATATAGTTTGTCAGAAAATACAGCAGTGGAGCTATTCTCTAAGTGCTGCCTTATCAAAGATATCAATCCTATTAACTTAAATAATAAAAGACCATGAAATTACTCTAAACCTTTGATAATAATAATGAAGGATTGTCCTCAGTAGAAATAAAACAAATTGTTCAAGTTATAACATCAATCTCCCAAAAAGGAAATGGTCGATCTGAATAGCATAATACCTATATATCAATACATGACAAATATGAATTCCATTCAACATTTGTTAGGCCCTTAATAGATAAAGTACAACATTTAAGATTTGTCTTGGACCATAATGGAATCTCTAATGCTATTTGGGAATAAGTGAACAAGTGTTTGGGAGTAGGTTGGGTACATTTCCAGCTTGCTTTCCTCCAATGCCAACTTGGGCATTTGAAATAGCAAATGGTAAGATTAAGTCAGCTCTGCAGAGGAATCGAATAAGATAAAGGCATTGCTATTCCCAGTCTTAGAAATAAAATATAAGATAAAGAGTTCTTAAAGTTCATGGGTCAAAAAGTTCTCTAACCTTAAGATGCCCCCAGGGTCAAATGGAGCAAGGCACCATTCTGGTGAATTTAGTGGTAGAGATTCATAATCAGGAGAGTTGACACTGCATTCCTGTTATATGGAGAAAGTTAACCATGCAGATCTGCTCTAGCCCAACTAACATGATGATCAGAGGGGAATGAGAAGAATCAACCCTGAGCTAGCATGGATTGGAATCCAAAGAGCTAACGCCCAACTGTAGTAAACAATTATCTAAACATAGGGGTGCAATGACACAGGTAAGAAACTAATAATAAAAGTTTACTCTGCAACATATGGTAGTAATCAAATATTAATGAAGATTAATTAAAAATCAAATCTTAACTTTCAAACACAAATATAATCAAGGGGAAATGAGAAGAATCAACCCTGAGCTAGCATGGATTAGAATCCAAAGAGCTAACGCCCAACTGTAGTAAACAATTATCTAAACATAGGGGTGCAATGACACAGGTAAGAAACTAATAATAAAAGTTTACTCTGCAACATATGGTAGTAATCAAATATTAATGAAGATTAATTAAAAATCAAATCTTAACTTATGGCAAACATCAAGTGACCAAAGTGCAAAGTTTAAAAATAAAAAATAAAAATAAAAGAACTCTCTGTTCTAGGCAACAAAATAGAGGATGAATTTGATAAATAAACAAAAATCTGAGCAAAAAAAGAACAACAACTACTTGGTAATAATCTATCGCTTGAATTATCTCCATCAATAATGCTCACTGCTATATGTTTTTCCTAGTTTGATGCTACATTACAGTTCAAAGAGTATTTATTCAATAGATTTTTAGGCAACCACTAAGTTTAGTGCCAGCCCAGTCCCAAAAAGTGATTAACCTAGAACGGTTTAATTTAAACAGACCAAAAAAGTATGAGAACCACTCCACCAGCAAAATCTTGACTGAGAATGAAGGGATCAGGTCAAATCATTGATGAAGAGATTTTATTGCTATGAAGAAACATCAAGACACTGACTTATTAATAATGCTACAACACTTCTCAATATACATGCAGAATTGATTTGTAAAAGATATTACAAACTAAGAATGCTACAGAGTCTAATCATATTTTCTGAAACTGAAGATATTGTATACTTATAGTTTTAGATGTTAATGTAGCGAACCAGTAATTAACAATATTTAGCACATTTTTCTTGTAGTTTCTCTTGGAGTTGATAATTTGAACTCCACTAAAACAATGTAATCAAGAGCAAAAGACCAGTCAAATTTAAGCCCTAGTCATTAAACACACATTGTCGTTTCATCACCTCACCTAGATCAACTGTCCAGAGCCAAGTCAAATTTTACCCTTACAAATTAAAGGTGCTGTAGCAATCAGAGCTAAAAGATTAAAGGTGCTTATAAAAACTAATGCTTTATGTTAGTACTTTTACCTTGTTAGTTCTTCTTCTTCTTCTTATTCTTCTTCTTCTCTTTCTTTGAAAGGTAAAAATGGATCATTCAAGGCTGGACAATTCTGAAACAGGGAAACTGTTGGCAGATCCATAATGGATCCTCTACTCTTTTCTGGGATGACCAATGGGTTCAAAACACAAATGAAAGGTTTTTTTTACATGAGAACAAAAAAGAGAACTTTGAATGGTTGAAAGGTCGGTCTTGACAGCAAACCCCCTGAAAATGAAGGAAATAAAGACAACGAAAAATGTGAAATTTCTTACAATTGTGAGTGTGGCTTTTCTTTTCACAGTTCAGTGGGTTTAAATAGGTGTGGTTTCACACCGTGTGAATCCGGTGGCTTTTTCTTGGGAAAAAAGCTAACTATTCAAAATGTTTCAGTGGGTTTACATATAAATGTTTCTACAAAATTTATATGTAGAAATAGCTTCCTCTGGCACTCCTTTGAAAGCTTACTAGTCACACAGCAAATGCTCACAGATATCAAAATTAGACTCAAATGAATTGTTTTAACAACCCTTGTGAAAGAAAACAGAAAAATTAAAACTGAAATATATGAAAACTTGGAGCAACAAAGTATATTATTGGGAATTTCGTTCTAATAGATCAGTGAAAGGTCCCAAACAGTGTCACAATCTAGTATGGACATAGAAGACTTGAAACATTCTCTCTGCACATACTTTAGTCCCGTTTCTTGTGGCTCAGGTCTTGACAAATGTGAAACATAATATGAAAGAGGAACAAAAAACCATTTATGTATGACTTGCCTGTAATAGCCTGCAAAAATCACATGGCTTTATATACAAGTGCCCAAATCATGATTCATGAAATTAAATAACTTTATGACGTTGGGTCAGAAAGAATATATGAATGAGGTGTAAATGACATAATATCAAAACTGATACAGTTCATATCTCAAATTACAACAAGATCAGAATGTGACATACAAGTTAGGAGTGAAGTGCTTTTCGCACTGATAGAATGCACAACCTTAGAGTGGTGGCCATAGTAATATGGATGGGACCATTTACACCTGCATGAAATGTTTAACCTGTTACTTATAGGGGAAACAGATGCAAAAAGAAGAGATATAAAAAGAAAGCTCAATGAAGTAAATATGGCATACAAAACAATTGACAAGCATAATGTTTTTTTGTGTTCTACTTCAGAGGACAGATACTGTCCATAATATTATATAGAATGTAAGCACTATCCGAAATCAAAACAACTCACTAAACATTACAAGGAAAACTAACCACCCAGCAGTGATGCAGAAAAACCAGGAAACACATAAGCATACTTGAAAATTTTACACAGAATTAACCATTATGAGAATATTTCTTTCTGTAAAGGGAATAACTCCTCAACATGTTTGAAAGATAATTTTCTCACAATAACTTCGATTATTTTCAGAGAGTAAATTCATTGAACATATAATGAATGTAACTAGAATAAAATCTGGCTTCATTCTCAACAGAAACAACACTGGAAACATCATCATCACAAGTACAGTTTACCAGGGACACAAATTTGCAGGAAGGTGGTTGAGTACCCAACAACATATGAATATTTAAACCCACCATGTCCCCGTGTCCTAAGATACTCGCAACGGTTGGATTTCGCAAGAATCTCAAGACATAATCAAATCTTTACAAGTGGTTCAAGACAATGAAACAGAGAAATTTGGGGGCCGAAGATCTTAGCCTCTATACAAATAAACACGTGATAAGTATTTACATGAAATATGATTAAAGAAAAGCGTGGTTACTTGAATGCAGTTGCCACTGAACCTATGCCGAAAACTGAAGCCACGATAATCTCCCTAATTAATCTCTGCGATGAAAAACAATAACAATTACATCAAAAAATTAAGCAAGAACAATCAAAATGTTGAGGTGGTTTTAATCGTTAAAAATCACCAGAATCTTGCTCATGATGGTAGTCAAACCAATCCACGCAGCACGTTGAATCAAGCCAATGTCTACAAAATCACCCAAATATTAAAGCATTCTAGGGTTACAGACACACATTTATTTGTATATGTATATATATCGAGAGTCTAGGGTTGGGAAATAGTACCAGAGGGCATCGAATTGGTGTCATCATCTTCGACCTTGGACGCGGACTGGAATGCATGGCTTGAAGAAGTTTCCACCGAGTCGATTGGAAAATGTACAGGTTCTTTGCAACAAGGGGCTGTTTGAATTCGACTGAATTGGTGAAGAATTCGAGTGTGAGAAGGATTCGACAATGATGAGAAGAGTGATGGGAGAGAAGTGAGTTCACATGGGTGAACAAGGAGTGAGAACCGATGAGTCGGCGAGATTGGGAGATTGTGAAACTCCAAAATGTTGCGAAGCTTGAGGGACTGGGACTCCATATATGGAGAGGGAGTAAAAGTCCCAATTTTATTAATATTAAATAATTAGTAGTTATGTCACATTAGATGACAAACAAAGCACAGAATAAAATTATGATAGATACAACATTATTATATATTTTTAATAATTTAGTGGTGTCAATTTATGAAAACCTCATAAAAATTTTACATAACACTACACAATCATAATATTTTATTGAACATTTAGTGGGTTCATTTGAACCCACTCCCTTACACATAACTATGCCCCAATTCACCAATTACTTAAAATACACGCGCACACACACACCAAAAAAAAAAAGGTAAATAACACTGACCTCTCCTGAAATTTTGCATAATTGCAAGGACCTCTCATATAATTTTAATAATTACACTAAACTCTCTTGCTTTTAAAAGTATTATCAAGATTTCCCAATTGAGAGCGATCCATTACTATACATAACAAAAGTTGCCAGTGTCATCTATAATTATTTTCAAAATTCAAACTACCCTTCCATTGCCTCCAAACCACTTGCATATTAAACACACCCAAATCCTAGCACCAACCAAGACACCAAGTAGTGGTGTTCACGGAGTGTTTTAGTTTGATTTTAATAAGAATTAAGAAATTTAGGAATCAAACCCAAGTGCATAACCTTTGAAACCGAACCAAAACCAAACCACAAAAATAGTTAATTCCGGTTCAATTCTATGGCACTAGGCTAGAAATTCGATTCAATAAAAAATCGTTTCTACCTATAAAGTATTCCAAAAAAAAAAAAAAATTGGACAAGCATACTTAAAAATTTAGTAATACTTCTCCAAACCATCTTTTATAGAATGTGCAAAGACACATCAAATTCTTCCTATTATATATTGAACACTACATAAATGCAACTTTCGATAATATAAGAAGTGTAAAATCCTATAAATATAACAGTTCGGTCCAATTCTTTTGAGCCTTAATCCTAAAACTGAACTATAATCAACAATTCTTAATTACTTTGAACCAAAACCTAGCCATTCTCTTGAAAAACTGGACCAAACCATACAATTCAGACTGGTCTAAATTGATTTACCAGTCAAATACCTATTTCATGAGTATTCCTAGTACATTTGGCATGAACCCGAACTATTTCACATATTACATAATAGCATTAGTTCTATTGATTTGATATGTGTTAGGTTTTTATTCTTGGCAATCCCGGTTAACAAAACACCTTTCAGTTGTATTTGCTTTCGCACTTTTTATTTCAGTGAGGCTATGAGTTTTTAGATGCGAATTCAACCCGAATTATGCCTTGCAGAGAAGTTTGTGATGGTAATACTTTCAAGATTGCCACTTCGCTGATTATGATGGGGATCGAGCTGAGCAAAATGCAAAATTGCATTCGAAGCTGCATGTCCGCCCTTGCTCGCTCAAGCGAAGAAGTCCTCGCTCGAGCGAAGGCTGCGTCTGGCAAAAAACCTGAGAAGGATGATTGTACGCTCGAGCGCAGGTTGTTTGGCTCGAGCGAAGCCACTTATAGAAAACACGCGTTTTTGGTTCCTCGCTCGAGCGAGAGAGTCTTCGCTCGAGTGAGCTTCGCAATCCCAGATTTCTATAAAGTACGTGTTTATATCAGATTTTAGGATTACTGCTTCAGATCTTCTTTTTGGATATTAAGGTTTATATTTGGGGATATTTTGCTAGTTTTTTTTATGTTTAATTGAGTATTCAACTCATGTGTGAAGAAGAATACATCAAAGGTTTGTTTGCTCATTCTACACAAGAGAGAGAGTTGTTCTTCGGTAGATTTTGAAAAATTCGAGCCTGAAGCTTTGGTGGATTCTAGAGTGGCTCATCGTCAAGACAATTTCGAGGTGAAGACAGGGTTGGAAGAGGCACATAGGGGTTGGTTCAATTTGGGCATGCATTCGCTAGGTAATTGAGAGTATACCTGTATAATTCCTTTATATCTTCTTAGTGGATTGTTTTGTGGCTGTTGCCCATGGTTTTTTTTATCATAATTGGAGGTGCTCCAATTGTGATTTTTCCACGTTAAAATCGTTGTGTCGATTTGTCTTGATTGTTTGATTGAGATTGTTTTATTATTTTAAATTGATACATAATCACAAATCCATATCTAACGGATTTCTAAATTTTTTAATATGCAAATGTCATTTGTTGTTTTTTTTTTTATTATTATTATAAAAAAGGAAAAAGAAAAAACATAGACGTAGATTTTTTATCAGCTAATAAAATTCCTTAAAATCACAGTTCCTAATTATGGAACACAAAAATTGTCTGAAACAATTGAGATAAATATTAAGAAATCATTGATATCAATCTATATATTTTTTTAATAACTTGTCAGAAATTATCATTTTCTATTGTTACACTGACCTTGACCCATCAAACAAAATTTCTAACACATATGGACACATCACTTTCTCATTTTATGTCATATCAAGCTACGATGTTACTATATAGAAGTATTTTATCAACGACCTTGAATGATAACATACATGAATATTTTGATGGCAATGGGCTTCTCAAGGAAAATAACAATAATGATAAAAATAAAAACCAGATACATCAAATCTTGATATACACTAAAAACAATGAAATATTTATCAAACCTAGAATATTCTAAGCTGTAAAAGTGATGAAGTTTACAAACTTATTACATTCTTTTATTTATATTTGGAAAATCAATGAAAGGATAACAAATCAACTTGCTGAACAATAAAGTAAAACATAAAAATTCTAAAATCTTGAAACAATTGGCCTAGACATTCTTCTTCTTGATTTATTGCTTTGGGATGAATGTTTAGAATTGAGACTGCATGCGAACAATTATATTCTTATCCACTTGGAAGGCCTTTGAGAGAAGATCACTGGAGACTGTAGGTTTTGACCCAAAGACAGCATTTTCAATGGTAATAATACCTGGATTTTGGCTACTAAGTGCTGAAATGGCTACTGCATTACCATGTCCAACATTACGCAGGAAATGGATAAGACCCATCGGGAATATAAACACATCACCCTTCTGAAGTAGCTTTGTGATGAAACGATTTTCTGGGTTGGAGGTAACAAACCCTACTTGTAGGCTCCCTTCAATAACAGTCCAAATTTCAGTGGCCCTAGGATGTATGTGGGGAGGGTTGATACCCAATGGTGCATAGTCAACGCGGGCCATGGAAATGCCAAAAGTGTTAAGCCCTGGAAATTGTCCAACATTTACTAAATTCACCTTCGATCCAACTGCATTCGATGTATTGCCTGGTAAATGTAGCCCTCTAAATAAGAAATCGTTGGCTTGTACAAGCTTCGGATCCTTGCACACCAAACCATTCACTAGCACTGCTGCAACAAAAAATGAAAGATTTATGGCCCATAAAACTCAAAGAGTAAATTATTATACAATGTTTATACAAGTAAATTGGTTTAGTCTTCTTCTTTTTTTTTTACAAATAAAATCTTCTTTTTCATGTTTTTAGAAATAAAACAATAAAAGGTTTGAAATGCTCTCATTTTCATTTATATGCAAAAGTTGTTTTCAAAAATTAAAAATAAACTTTGGTGTTTTCTAAACAGTGAATTATTTTCAAAAATAAATAAATAATTGAAAAATAGTTCATCAAATAATTTTCTACATTTTTCAAAAAATAAAAATAAAAAACAAAATATAAATATAAATGAAATAGAACCAAATAAGCTGGAAAGTGCATATGAAGAGTATAGAACCTGAACTACTATTGTCTGCGACACAGAAATCTTGAAGAGGACTATTATCAAATGCAAAAGCAACCGGACAAGTTATTGCCAATAATCCTAATAACAAAACAAATTGTGATGCCATTTTGCACACTAAAAATCTTCTTGTTGAAAATGAAGCAATCTTCTTCTTTTGAGAGTTTGAAAGATTTGATGAGATGGGAAACAAGTAACCACTAAGAGCTGCTTTTATGGATGTTCTTGGAGATAGAGACTTTAAAGCCAACCTAATAGCTATGCACCAGAATGAGTCTATATACTTCATTATTCATTCTTTATAATAAACAGACAACAGCAAGTTGAAATAGTAAATGCTGCCATTTCTTTACGAAATTGTCAATATTTCGCCATGTGTTTGTGGTGTCAGCGGATGATATATCGGTTATAACTGTAGGGAAATTTTTTTTTGATCGGCAAAAGAAATCTTTATTGATGAACCACATATAAATTACATATGATAGGCAAAACATCAATAAAGAGGAGGTTGGAGCTAGTGAAAGCTCCAACCTCCAAGTTGGTGAGAAACCAACAACACAAAACAAAACAAGAGCAACACCAAATTGACAGATAAACAGATGCAATAGCAACAGATAGATCCTAGTACAAAAGGGTGAGAATCCTACAGCATATCAGCCAAGTTAACCCTGATTTAGTAGTTATCAATCAATAGCAAAAGCAACAGCAATCGAGAGCAGCCCAGAGCAGATAAACCAGCCTTCCCAAACAGCATACATATCAGCACAGAGCACCTGTTGTAGTGAGGCACTACTGTTGCAGATCAAAAGCAAAAACCAGAGCAAAAACCATATGCAGCTTCTCACAACCATCATGAACAAAAAGGGTGAGGATCCAAAACCACCCTGAGTTAGTAGTCACCAATGAATAGCAAAAGCAGTAGCAAGCAAGAGCCTTCCCAAATAGCATACAGATCAGCAACAGAGCAATTAGGCACATTAGCAGGACCCCAAGACTCCAATACAAACAACTGTTGCAGTGAGGCACTACTGTTGTAGACCTATAGAGTAGAATTCAGCCAAAACACAGCTTTCATGCACTGAATAATGCATGATCACAGTAGCAAATAACTCATGAAGAAAAGTGAAGTGGACTTTGACAATGCCAAAACAGCCCAGATAAACCATATCAGATTAGCTTCCACAGATCAAGACATTGGCCCAACATACCAGATATGAACTGATGAAACAAAAGACCCATAAGACCGATGAATCCAAAACAACCCAATACCAGCAGCAAGCTACATATACAGTCCTACCCCTCCCAATCAAACAAATACCAAAAAAAAATGGTTGTGCTTCACCAGCACCAGCATACTAGCAACAATTCAGCAACCTTAGGTCCCTTTATCTATACACAGTTGCAGACCTGCTTCAGGTTATATAACACATCATGCACCGAGTAGTTAAACTCTCTCAAGGAAGAAACAGCCCACATAGCAATTCTGGTTTTAACCAGATCAGCCAACTCATTCAAAGATGGTTGTGCTTCATTAAATATGCACTCATTCCTGAGTTTCCACACAGACCACATTACTACCAATGGTATCATCTTCCAAATCTCCTTTACCTTTTTCTTCATTATCGGACCTAACCAGCAGTGGAGTACTGCCTCCACTGAACCAGGAATAGCCCAGCTCAAGTTCCACCAACACATAATACTGGCCCATATTCTCCATATCCTAGGACAGTGAAGGAGGACATGATTTAAAGACTCCACCTCAGCTTTACAAAACACACACAGTGCACTAACATTAGAATTCAATACTCCAATCCTTTGTAAAAACTCATAGGACTTAATCCTACCTCTCCAAGCCAACCAGCTCAGAAATTGTACTTTGGGAGGAGCTAAGTTATTCCAAATGCTTTTAGTGACTGGGATAGTTGGCCCTTTACATGCTACCACCCACTTCCATACTGATGACACAGTAAAGACTCCAGAAGGGTGCGCTAACCAATAGCAATAGTCTTCAGCCCCATCATTTAGTGTAGGAGCTCTCTGTACCAAATCATTAAGTTTCAACACTTCCTCCTCTTCCCAAGCAAGAAGAGGCCTTCTAAATTCAATATTCCAGGCTGTACCCACACCTCTGCTATGAACATACTCAAACAAGGTGCCATCCTTTTCAACTGACAAGGAAAATAATCTGGGAAATACCTCATTCAGACTTTGATTATTAATCCACCTATCAATCCAGAACCGCACTCGTCTGCCATTTCCAACAATTACCTTGAAATTTTGCAAAAAGAAATCTCGCAATTCAGGATTTTCTGCAGCCACTGAAAGTACACCCTTCCACAAATTTGACAAAGGCTGAGCCTCTCCTAAAAATATACTCCATCTGCCACCCAAACTTCCATACTTGCTGCAAACCACTTGTTTCCATAAAGCTGAATCCTCTTTGCCATATCTCCACCACCATTTAATTAAGAGGCACTCATTAACTTGGCTTAGGTTTCTCACACCTAGCCCACCTTGATCTTTGCTTAGACAAATCTCCTTCCAGCTAACTAGGTGCACTTTTCTCTGGATTTCAGAGCCTCCCCAAAGAAAATTGGCTTGAATTTTGTCTAGAGATTTTGCAATCCCCACTGGTAGCTTAAATATGGATAGGAAATAGACTGGCAAGCTTGACAAAACAGACTTTATCAGTGTTAATCTTCCTGCAAAAGACAAATACCTTCTCTTCCATGAAGCTAGCTTACTCTTAAACTTGTCCACTACTGGTTTCCATGTGCTCTTTCTTCTTGGACTTGCTCCTAACGGAAGACCCAGATAGTTTAATGGCAGCTTTTGGCTGAGGCAGTTAAGTTTCTTTGCAAAGACCTTCACTAAGTCATCCTGAATACCCACCCCACACACTTTGCTTTTATGGAAATTTATTTTGAGTCCTGACATCACCTCAAAGCATCTTAAGATCCTTTTCAACGCAACGATTTCTTCCCAATCAGCTTCACAAAAGATAATAGTATCATCAGCAAATTGCAAATGTGATAGTTTTAACTCATTTGGTCCTACTGTGACTCCTCTGATCAAACCCTCTTCTTTGGCTCTTTCCATGAGTATATTAAGGCCCTCTGCAACAATGTTAAAAAGGAAAGGTGAAAGTGGGTCACCTTGCCTAAGGCCTTTCATAGGGGAGAACTCTGAAGTAGGTGAACCATTAACTAGTACTGAAATTCTAGCTGTAGATATACACGTCTTAATCCAACCCACCCATTTCTCACCAAAACCAAAATTGGCCATCATTGAATACAAAAACTCCCAATTTACTGAGTCATATGCCTTTTCAAAGTCCAATTTTAGTATGATTCCTTTCTTTTTTGACCTTTTCCACCAATCCACCACCTCATTGGCAATTAGGACTCCATCTAGAATATATCTTCCACTCAGAAATGCCGTTTGTACTTCACTAATGATCTTGGGTAGGACCTGCCTCAACCTTTTTGATAAGACTTTGGCAATTATTTTATACATGGAGCTAACCAAACTGATTGGCCTATAGTCACATAGACCCACTGGATTTTCCTTCTTAGGAATCAAGGTAATAAATGAACTATTCACTCCTTTGGCCAACTTACCAT